CCATGTTGAGAACCATTATCAAAGAATACTACGAAATTTACACATGCCAGATGACAACATATAAAACCGGAACACACACAACAATTGTGATTGAGAGATGGAGGGAGTTGAAAGGAATCTTGTAAATTAGCTTCCTTCTCCCCCCCCCCCTTTTTTTTTTGGCGTGGCACTAAGGATTGAACCCAGAGGTGCTCTACCATTGAGCTACATCCCTAGCCTGAATACTCAGGCTTAGTTTTTAAAAATATTGCCAACTATGAAAGCTTTGTAACAGCAATAGACAATATAACTTAAGGTACTATACCATAAGGTCAAAGGTCAATATGATAGGCTCATCAAGCTTTAGCTTTAGGCCATGGTGGTTGTGGTGGCAGGGTCCTTCAGGCTACATTTCCAAGATTCCCTTGATGGCTGGTGTTTGTCAGTGGGAGAATGAAACCAGGAGGAAGGGCAATTTTCTCTGTAACCAGGCTTCTTCTCCCGTTTCCAATTCCAATTCTTCCACTTTGTATTCATAAACTATTTGTATCCAATTCCCTACACCGAATCCCTTTCTGCTACAAATATCTTGAGCTGTTTCTGTTTCCAAGAGAGACACACTGAGTCATTATTAAAGACAGGGAATGACGAGTCATATTTAAAATGGTATTGCTAATTTCCATTTTAGAACAGCCAATCTCGTTCTAAAGAGGATCTGATTCCTCTACCCTTCTTGCTACTTTATAGAGTGACTGACAGAGATCATCAGTTTTTCTACTTTTTTATTCACATGTATTTGCTTTATTGGCATTATCTACAGTTTCTTTGTGGAAATTTTTTAAAGACACCTGCTCATTTTTGAGACTGAGTTTAATTAACAAAAGGTATTATAACCTATATATCTCAGAATTTAGTACCAAATACAAAAAGCTGAAAACAAATAAACATGTGTGGGCACCATAGTTAATTCCTCTGTGCTGTACTATCTCTACTCTTTTGCTAAAAACAACTGATTTTAGGAAGTGCATAAGGGTTTGTATAAAGCCAATTCCTGTGGTAAGTATTTTTAAAACTTTTCCCTTTATAAGATGAAAAACAAGATAAATGTAAGTTCTAATGTTTTCCCCTTACCCATTGGGTTCTCTTGTAAACCCTGCTTTGAAGATCCCATTTTTTCCTAAGGTTTATTTTCACTACTTCAGAGGATGAGGAAAGGGGAATTGGTGTTTAAATGCTTGCAAAATGCAGGATTAAATAAATTCCTGAAGGTTTCTTTTATTCCCCCACCCCCACCCCCACCCCGTTTTGTAGTGCTGAGAATCAAACCTAGGGTCTTCTACAGGCTAGGCATATTCTCTGCCACTGAGCTATATCCCCAACCCTAAGAGTTCCCAATTTTTAAATATTAAAATATAGGTGTCAATTTTGCAGGGGGAGATACAATCATAATCTATAAATTCTTTTAACATGAAATCCCTCTATTCAATCCCTGTCCCCTCCCGCCAACCCCCCCCCCCCCACACACACACCTTAAGGAGACTCTAACAAATCAGTGCTTCAAAATACTTTGGAAAATGCTGACTTACATGAACTAGTTTCAGTTTCTGAAACTTAATGAAGGAAGAGGCAAGGCCACAGAAATATAAGGGTCATCTTCTCATAAAAGGAGGGTTTGCAGGATAATGCTTTCAAGGAAGGGGTGTTCTAAAAGATAATGCTGATTATATAATTCTTTTGGGCTAATGTATGCTTTCTGAATGGCAAGTATGGTGGATATTATGATACACACAGTCTGTGAACTAAAGAAAAATTTTAACTCAATGCTTAGAATAATTCCAAGTACAAAGTAGGAGTTCAAATATCTGTATAGTCTCTATGTATATGCAAATTTCTCCATATGCCATAGGTGGGTGAAAATTATTCTAGGTGTAAATGCAAGGAAGTTTCTTTCTAATCAATGTAAAGATAGGGTTAGGATTATACCTTGGTGGCCAAGAGCTTGCCTAGCATGCACAAGATCCTAGGTTTGGTCCCCAACATTTTTTTTTTAATATTTTTTTTCTTAGTCATAGATGGACAAATATCTTTATTTATTTATTTTTATGTGGTGCTGAGATTCAAACACACATGCAAGGCAAGTGCTCTACCACCGAGCTACAACCCCAACACTTTAAAGAAAAAAGATATACTTTTGCAAGTACATATACAATTTTCACCCTCTAAGTTTTGTAGAAATCTCTACTCATTTTTATTCTGAAAACTGCATTCAAAGAACCATAAACATTAAAATGAAAGAATAGGCTTCATGTTTTTACACTTTGCAAAACTTTGTAAATATATATTGGGCTTAAAATTTTTCATTAAAAATCTTGATTATGCAATGTCTAAAACATTCCTGATTAACTATGTTATTACTCAATCTTTTAAAAAATCAGTGTTTCCTTCTGATATATAAGAAAAGTTTCATATGTTTTGTACAGTAGGCATTATACTATAATACTGAATGTTTTTAAAGCAGTGCAGGTGCTTCTACCCATTCAGATACACTCCCATAGGAAACAATTACTAAACATTTATTCAAATGCAATGTAATAGATTATAGTCAATTTTTGATTTTATGTAAATAAAATCTTAATCAAAGATTATTATGTGACTCTTTACTATAACGACTCTTGTACTATGACAACCTTCACAAAGGTTCGTGCCTTGAAATGAAATATCAATATTAAAAACTCTTTATATGCTGACAAGGAGTTCAGAATACAAAGCATTTGGACTTATTTACATTTGTTGTTGAGAGAAGACAAACCTTAGACAGTGGGGGTAGGGTGCCATCCTTGCCATAACACTTAGCTTTCCCCCTTTGCATCCTAATAGAATTTTACCGCTTATGATAACAAGTCAGACAATCCACATGCACTGTGACAATTCTAATAACTCAAAAAAAGACTTTAAAAAGAGGAAAATTAGAATAAAATCACTCTAGTTCCTACCATCCCAAACCAATGACGTCAGATATTTCACCAATCTCCAATTCTGGATATTTGTTTCCAGTCTTTTTCTATCTTAAACAACATAGAGAAACATTACTGTACATACATTTTTTTGACATTTGTTTTACTATTATAAATTCCTATATTCAAGATTGCCAGTCAAAGGACAAATCCTTTTAAATAGTACTTTTGATACAAATTACTAAAATTCCCTCCAGAAAGGTTATATCTCTTCACAGCCTATGGAAAGTGCTATTTATCTTATCCTCCCTGTGACAAAGAGTAGAAACTGTATATAGAAGACTGGCCCATAAGAGAAGAAGAGAGGAGTCAAAGGTTATAGGAGAAGAACACCATTGAAGAAGAAAGGCAAAGACAAATAAGACCTACATTATTTTAGTTTTCTATTTCCATTAACTCCAGGAAGTTATGTGTACAATTATGTACAGCATAGCAACATTTCAGTCAAGAAAATACCACGTATATGACAGTATTATACAGCCAAGGGATGCAAGGTATCCCATGGAGGTCTGTGTAGTGCCCTTTATATGTCTGTACAATGATCAAACTGCCTACCAACACATTTCTCAAAACATATCCCAATCAGACATTGCATAACTATGCACCCAACTAAGAGGAGAAAAGGCAAAAGAGGACAAGAAGCAGACTCTTATCTATACCTGACAGAAAAATACCTCCCTTGTATTATCTGACACTATTGTCTCCCTTTACCTTCCAGGTCTTCTTTAGTTTTTGCCTTGTTTAATCCAATCAGTGCAGCATTTTTTTTTTTTTTAAACATCTGAATGTCTCCAGAAGGTATAGGTGTACACAGTTCTTACACTCCCCAGCATTTGCCTTCGTAAGCCTCAGTCTTCTGCTCAGTTACATGCCTGTTTAGCCCTGGAAGCTTTTGCTATGTCTCACGCAAATTAACCACTAGAAACTTAAATACCATAAAGTATTATTTTGGCAGACACTGTTCTGTGGTACTTAATAAATCTGGACACTTAAGGTCACTTGTTTTAAAAGAGGTTTTCATTCTTTCTATGCTCAGTATCAAAAGGGATCTTAAGCAACAAAGTAGGATACAAGAGTTCAACTGTTAACTGCTACTTAATTTGAGCTTCATTGAATCATTATATTTCTTGGGCTGGGGTTGTGGCTCAGAGGTAGAGCACTTGTCTAGCACATGTGAGGCACTGGGTTGGATCCCTAGCACCACACAAAAAATAAATAAATAAAGTAAAGGCATTGCATTCATCTACAACTAAAAATATATATATATTTAAAAAACATTACATTTCTTCTTGCATTACAGTTACTTCAAACCTCCAAACCTTAGCTGTTTTAGCACTGTTAATCCTGTGGCAATAATCATGGTGGTTAAGAGCTTGATTCTTAAGCCGCACTCTCTGGGTTGAACATCTGGAATGGTAAACGACTGTGTGACCTTAAGTAAGCTAACCTCCTTGAGTCTCAGGACCTCAACTATAAACTAATAATAATAGTGGTAGTTACTTCATGGAGTCGGTATGAAGATTATGTGTCACTAGTTAAAAAGCACTTAGAAGTGTAAACACCACATAATATGCCAGTATACATAATATATAAGTATCATTATATATATTATATATTATATATAAGTATGTATAAAATATACTTTAAAAACATTGATAGATAATAAGTGTACACATCTATGTATGACCTTTAATTTTTTTTGTCAATACATTAAGATCTCATATGAACAAATATAAAGGTATAGAAAAAGGGGGGGGGCAAAAAAAAAAAAGAATATCAAGAATACTTGGAACAATGGTTGTCTTCTTAAGGTGTGGCTTATGATGTAGAGCAAGCTGTTTTCTATGCTTAGCAAATTGTCATATTCCTTACTATGTCTGGATTAGGTATTCAAGCACCTGAGGGTAAGGCTTATGACTGATGAGTACTTTCAAAACCTAAGAATCTATAATACAGAAAAGAATAAAGATATAACACCGAATAAAGAGAAACATACAGAAAACTTACATTATATTGATGATTAGCAACAGGCTTGTAATTTGTTGTTACAACTTTCTCCAGTTGTTGTGATAGCCTTACAGGTTTGGAAGATTCTTCTATTTGCAATCTGAAAAACAGAAGGCATTATATATACTTATTTGTTTAGCAGAATGAAACCTGAAGACTTATTTCTGTAATTCTTATTCAATAAATACCAATTAATGTATAAACATCAGATTATTATACTACCCTTACTAGAACATTCAAAAACCACAGTGAAAATATATGACTATTGTGTTACTTCATTAGTCTATAACTTACTTCTAATCCTATATTGTATAGGCAAATCTTAACTACTAAAAACCAGAAACCAACCACCTGAAAATTTCTGAAAACCAACCAATTAACTAACCAACCCTACAAATAAAAATAAACTATATAAACTAAAATTAATCAAGTTGCTAATTCAAAATTTCCATTTATTTAATTAGAAATAAAGGCTAACAAAATGGAATAAATCAGCACCTAAGGTCTAGTACCTCGTATAATCAGCACCAAAGGTCTCATTGGCTAGTACAGATACAGAACATTTTGGTGATTACAGACTTCTAAAAGATAGGAATGGTCTAAAACTACTATAGGACTCCATCCAAATTAAAATATAATTTGAAATATTGCCTTTGAGAAAACAGCCATAAAATACATGACACCATGTATAGCATATTACAAAACATAATACCTGAACATACATCTTCAAGTAACAGACTTAGGATATTTTGTTTGTATTAAATGTGGAAAGACACATTCAAACATTTATTTCTTACTTTAAAAGTTAAGAGAAATTCATTTGCTAATCCAAAAAACTGTTTTAAGAGGAGAAAAGTGCAGCTTAAAAAAAAAAAAAAAAAAAGGTGGGGCCAGGGTTGTGGCTCAGTGGTAGAGCACTTGCCTAGCATGCATGAGGCACTGGGTTTGATCCCCAGCACCTCATAAAAATAAACAAATAAAATAAAGGTATTGTGTCCATCTACAACTAAAAAAATTTTAAAAAAAGGTTTCACTGTATCTTTGGATTTCTCATCAGTAGGGTATCAGAATATAAATATGTAGTATATTTAAGAAAATGCTCATATGTAGCTAATTTGTAAGTAAAGTGCAAGAATGAAATAAAAGTATTTTTGGACAAAACCCTTAAGACATTTACAGATCATCCTTAAAAGAATTATTGAAAGGTTTACTTTCGGGTGAAGGAAAATAAATCCAAAAGGAAGGAGTGGGATGCAATGGTCACAGCAAAGAAATTGAAAAACGTTGTTAGAAAATTGCCTACTTAATAAAAACAAAAAGAAAGCATCTTTTTAAAAAAACGGTGAAATTAACATGAAAGATGAAAAGGAAGAGATCAGTATTAGTGCATTTTAAGATTTCTGTATGTTTCCTAAATTTTCTGCAATAAGCATCTATTACTTTTATAATAAAAAAAGGAAGTATGCCTAATAAATACAAAATACCATTATTTTTTGGATGGTTAATTTGAAAGCCATAAAATGTTGGTCATTCAAAAATAATACATGCTTAAAATTGTATATTATATAAAATTTGACTCAGACTTTAAATTCTTGGTTCAACAGAATAAGTACTAAAGCTAATTTTCATTCAAAATTCAAAAAGACACCTCGAAGTACAAAAAGTACCTATTTTAAAATGTTCTTACTAAATATGGATGAAGATAAATCATTTTAGATGAAGGTAATTCTCTATTCTGTTTATTTTTAGGTATATAACAGCAAAATACTGAGATACTCAATGTCTACCAACTATTTTTTATATATGAAATCTACATTATTAGGTATTAGGTATACTTTACCATGAGCCCCAAATTCAGTATACTTATTTCTATATGGAAATGTAAATATTTAAATTCATTCATTTATTAATCCATACTTAAGCTTTAAATACATAAAATTATTATTTTATAAAATGTTAAAAAATACTCTGGAAATATCTTCAGAAATTTACCGGATATGCAATCATAAATAGTAAGTACTATATTACTTTTGCCTTTCGTATGTCACACATAAAGAATTTTTTTGTAGTCACTGCTTCCTGACTCAGGTCCATGTGGCATACTTTCCTTTATAGAAAAATTCTTCAGCAATTCTAAAAGTCAGTTTCACCATCCAGACTGGCATGATGTATGGAACCTCAAAATATTTAATCTTTTAAATAAAGAAAAACAATGATCATTGCTTTAAAATAAAGAGCTAATATAAAAATTCAACCTTTGTTGAATTGTATTTGTATTGTACTTCAAAAAAGTCAACTTCAAGGGTTTTGTTTTAATAAGAAGAGGGCATCTTATGATTACAAGCTCAAAAGGTTAGGAACTGAAAATACAGCCTATTTTTCAAGAACCAAATCTTAAAATACCTTAATTAACCTTGACTGGTTTAAAATAATTTAGCAGGTTCTTTAATTAACACTAAATAATTCATTTAACTTTATCTCATGAAGTGTCAGAACAATTTGCAACTCCATTTCATCACTGAACAATATACTAAATTAAACATTACTGACCTCAACAGGCTTTCAAAGTCAAAAGAAAGTTTACCTGGGTTTATCAGAATAATATGATTTGGAACTATTTGGTTTGCAAATCAGAATAGCCAAACCACATACAGAGGTGCTGGGCTGAACTGCAAGCAAGTTAAGAGGCCTGACTATTTTTTAAAATGGCTTTGACTTTTGCAGAAAATTTAAAAATATGTTATTTTCAAGAAACAGTAATAGAAAAGCAATATTCTGTGGTCACTTTGTTTTACAAATCTAAAAGTTTTTGGTGCTGATTCTTAGCATCATTATGAATATGAATATACATATTCATAGAAGGTTAGGATTTAACTGTATCTTTTTACATTTTCCATAGTTGGAGACAAAGTGCTTGAAAATATACATTTATGAGATAATTGTTGTGGCATCATAAATCATACTTATTTTGTCAAAGCATAATATTTATAAGCATTAAAAATTAAATAGGTTTGAATATGGATGCATTCTAAATACAACTCCATTTCTTTAAAAAAAAACTTAATTTAAATTTTAGGTAGCTGAGAATTATATTCTTAGAAGCTCAAGTTGGTGAAGTTTGCAAATAGTCCCTAAATTAGTTGCCTGAGTTGTAACAGCAAACACACTAAAAACTTGACAGAAAATTACAGATATCTATCTTATACCATAGATTATATTTAGGAAGCTTAACTTTATTTATTTTAGGAAGCTTAAGTTTAATCAGAGAATTTTAAAGTAAAAAAGTGACCAGACCTGTGTTTTTAAAATACTCCTCTGACTACTCTTTGCAGGATGGTGTGGAGTAAACATGGAGCCCAGAAACTAGAAAAGCTACTGTCCTAATACAGAGGAAAAATAATACTCATTTGGATGAGGGTGATGCTAAAGAGGTAAAAGTCAAGTTTAGCAAATTATGAAAATATTTTGAAGAGAGATTCAATAGAAATTGTTCAACTGAACTGGGGTACAAAAGAGGAAGAAAGGCAATAAGAATAATTGGGCTTAGATTTCTTGCTTGAGCAACTATAACCCAAGAAGAGGGGTCAGACTGTGTTACTATAAAACTGATAGAATTCACTTTATTACAAAAATCTGTATATGAGATGCTCCATTTACTCCGCTACTACAAATGAAAGTAAGATAAACGAAAAACTAACACCTTCTATCTTAAATTCTTTTTTAAAATATTTTTTATTTGTTTTAATTAGTGACAGTAGAATGCACTTTGATACATTATATATAATGGAGTATAATTTCTCATTCTTCTGGTTGTACATGATGTAAAATCACACAGGTTGTATAATTATATATGTATATAAGGTAATAATGTCTGATTCATTCTACGATCTTTCTTACCCCCATATCCCCCTCCCCTCCCTTCACTCCTCTCTACCTAATCTAAGGTAACTCTTTTCTTCCCTAGTCACCCCCCAACCCTGACCCCACCACATTGCAAATTAGCATCCACATATCAGAGAAAACATTCGGCTTTTGTTTTATAGGGGATTGGCTTATTTCACTTAGCATGATATTCTCCATCTCCATATACTTACTGGCAAATGCCATAATTTCATTCTTCTTTAAGGTTGAGTAATATTCCATTGTGTGAATGTGTGTTTGTGTGCGCGCCACATTTTTTAATCCATTCATCTGTTAAGGGCATCTAGGTGGTTTCCACAGTTTAGCTATTGTGAATTGAGCTGCTATAAACACTGATGTGGCTGAATCATTGTAATATGCTGATTTTAATATTTCTTAATCAGCAAGTTTTATATAAAGATATGAGTTACTCTCTATGCCTCACACTTAAGATTAACATAGATTCAAACACCTAATGTTGAATGGCACCAAGAGCAACTCATTTCTCTGGACAAGAAATAATGACAAGAGAAGCTGTGCTCTACTTGTGTACAATTTTATGTCAAAATGCAGTCTACTGTAAGATATATTGATTAATTAATTAAAAAAAGAAAAGAAATAAATAATTACTATTACTGTATAACTTGGGCCACATAAAATTATTTGGCTTTTTTACTATTTAAGGGAATAGTCAAAATCAACTTCACTGAATTCTGAGTTTAATATTATTATTTAAAGAGTCATTAAAGTTGGATACAGTGGCACATGTCTGTTATCTAAGAAACTCAGGAGGCTGAGGCAGGAGGATGACAAATTCAAGGACAGTCTTAAAAAGATCTTGTCTCAAATTTTTTTTTTTTTTTTTAATTTTAAAGGACTGAGATGTAGCTCAGTGGTAAAGAGACTCTGAGTTCAATCCCCAGTATCACGGGGGTGGGGAACTAAATAAAAATAGAGAGCATTATCTCCTATTTCTTCCCATCAAAGAGAAAGTTTACAAGGTCATGTAACCCAAGAGCTAAAACACCAACAAACTGATAGCACATGAAAACAGACATTTAAAAAGCACTATATTGAGGCTGAGGTTGTGGCTCAGAGGTAGAGCACTCACCTAGCACGTGTGAGGCCCTGGGTTCCATCCTCAGCACCATATAAAAATAAATAAAGATATTGAGTCCAAAAAATTAAACAATAAGAAAA